GGGGGGGGGGGGAGGAGAGAATTTTGGGGCCGATGATGTTGTGGTGGTGGGGGGAGGGGGGCGAGTAGATGCCGAGCCAGTCGAGCTTGGAAGGTGAGTCGACGCCGGTCCATTGGATGAGGACTGAGTCGCCGGATTTGGATAGAGTGGTTTTGGATAGAGAGACTGAAACTTTTTGATGGGTTGGCGTGAAGAAGGCGAAGAGAAGAAGGAGGAAGATGAAGGGCGTTCGAGAAATGGTCATTGTGGCGGATGAGATGACCGTGATTGATGAGCTATGGAATTGGATGGTATTTATGAAAATATATTTATTTATTCTTAGGCATATTCTTCTTTTATTTATTCCGAGATATTGTGCTATGTAATAAGATCCAAAGAAACTCAAATTTCTTTCATCATATTTGATCAGGATTTGTGAAGAATAAGGGCTGGGCCACTTTTGCGTGTTTCCAACCTTGTCAAGGAAATGCGGACGTTGAAACCCAATCAGGACTCTTCGAACACGAGCCGTCTCAGTGACATAAAAGTCCAGTCCAATTGGTCGAATCGTGCCCCCTTTTCATTTGACCATTCTTGGTTTGAATTTTCCTCCTTCTTATTTTGTTTTAAATAAGATAATTGAATTGGATTGGATTGGACTGGACTGGATTGGATAGGCGGAAGGAGACTATACAATTAAGCGGGTACATATATATTTACGTGAGTCATGTGATTTCCGACTCTATACATTCATATGACGAATATAACCCCAAAAGGATTATGGAATAGAAGAAAGAGAAGCCAAGCCAATCGTGAATTCCGGTTTCTGGGCAATTTATAGTGTTTCATGTGTCTCTTGCGCCTTTGCATTAAAACTCTTTTATACTCTTCTTCATTCATTCTATCACCATCCATCGTCAACCCTTTACCTCTCTTACTTACTCTCTCTCTCTCTCCCCCTTTCTTTCACAATCTCCGTAGAAAGAAAAAACCCAACAAAAAATTCAAAATGAAGAGCTCTCTCTCTTCTTGTTCAACCTCTACTTTCGGCCTCCGCCGGCTTTCGGTCTTGGCCTTGGTGGTGGTCTTCCTCTCGCTTCTTCTCACATCTGCCGCCACACCCGTGATCTCTAGCCCTACCAATATTGTACCAAGAAACCCCAGCACTAACCAAGAAGACAGGTTGCTACACTACAAGGTCCAGGAGGCAAACCACCATCCTCTTCATCCTCAGCACCCGTGTGATCATCAGAGCTCAGTTTCGCAATCATCAAGTGCCCAATTACGTTCTTTGTGCCTTCAACTCCACCAACACAAAATCTTCCATGCCTACCAACCCCTCCCACCACCGCCGCCACCCGTCGCTCTAGATCACCACGATGAGATTGACCCAAGATACGGCGTCGAGAAGAGACTCGTCCCCTCCGGCCCCAACCCTCTTCACAATTGAAAAAATAAAGTCTCCATCCCCATTATTTATACTACTTTAGCATTTCTTGGTATATCTTTCATTTCTTGAACACCCAAGAAGAGATCAGAAGACGAAGGAGCTAGGCTACTTGTTTAATCAGTATTAATTTTCTTTACTACTTGTTGTGTGTTAAGCTACCTATTTCCATGCTTGTTTTTGAACTCTCGGGCCATCGCTACCTTTTGCTTAGAGATTAGAGAGGGCAGACAAATTTTTGTGGAAGCGGCAAAAACAAGCATGGAAATGGTCCAGAGTCCAGGGGTGGAGGAGATTACAGAAGAATTCAAAAGAAGTCCATGAGTACCATAATGTCAATTCAATCAGGGGGGGGCAACGGGTAAACCTTTCTTTTTCGAGGTCAAAATGGACTTTTTACCCGTGTAATACTAGCTAATATGTGGGTCCGCATTTAATATTTTCGTGTATAGTCAGGTAGAAACAGTTGACGCGAAGCCTTGGTTTGGTTCTTTTCTATTTCTTGGGATATCATCAGAGTATATGAATGAAATTTTATTTATTTATAGTTTGGTTTGTTCTTCTTTTGTCCCTTTTAACTCATTCATGCATGTCATGAATGTTCCCAAAATATACATCATCTTTCAACTTAATTTGCCGACTGCAGTTGTGAGGTGAATCCCGTGACACAACCTTGGTGGTGGTGGTGGTGGGGAAACTTGAAATCGGGATTTTGAAAGAGATGTACCATTAGATTAAGAGTTAGTAATTTTTTTTAAACTAAGATAAACTGTTTTACTATGTTGGCAAGACAAGTTTGATGGTTGGTTTGTGTTGATGACTGTATGTTTGTATGTACAAATATACCGTATTCCCAACCGACAACATTGTATAATAAGGTATTTTATCGTTTTCAAAATATTATCAATCGTAATTAAGTCATAAATACTGTTTGGGATAAACATTATGGATCACATCTATCATAATGATGTACTTG